GGGCCCCGATCTGGCTTGGGCCACTGACAAGTGCCATGGTTGTGTCCCCCCTCCCTCCCCCCTCAACGTGCAGCCTGAACCCAAACAATGTATAATGTAGTACAAGAAAATATTTTTGATGACATACCTCTAAGCAAATATTCTATTCTATTATAACTTCGGTGAATAGAACACAAGGGCATTCATCCATCAATCAGTTGATTGAACACAAGATTATTCATCCATCAATCAAGATGATTGAACACAAGATTATTCATCTATCAATCAGTTGATTGAACACAAGATTATTCATCTATCAACCAGTTGACTGAACACAAGGGCATTCATCCATCAATCAGTTTTGTATTATGTGTAATTTAATGAAAGGGGTTACCCATTGAGGAATTAATGTTAAATATTAGGTGAAAAAACACATTGGAATTAACTATTATCAGGGCTTTCCTTTTTTCTCCTACCAAGTAGGCTACACATTTTAATATTTTAGAACACGCCTGCCCTTGAGTATTCCTGTGAATGAAGACACTTCTTTGCTGCCCACAGATACTACTTACCAGCTAAGTGCTATTTCTTACTTTTATTTTTATACCGTTTTTTTCCTGTTGTTTTGTTCGCCGACGAAGGCTTCTGCCGACACGTTCGCTGTTTTGTTGCGTTTATTTTTTCAGGTTTAACCCTACTCTGTTTTACTCATTTTATTTTGTGAATGAAGAAGACAGATATAAAACAAATTGAATAGAATCTGGGCTTTCTACAGTGCTTGTGGTTGAACATTTCCAGACTTATTATGGGTTATTTTTAAAAAAAATCCTCACTAAACATAATATAATTACTATTTTAAGATGACCACATTGAGAAGATATCAGACTGGCTGACATTTATAAACTTTAAAAATAGAATTAAGATTGATCCCAAAAGGGGATGAAGGGGAGGCGGTGGAGGCAGGGATCAAATGTAAACTTCCATAATTGTTACGAAATAATTTAGTTTTTTTTCAAGCTATAAAGTTATAATTTTGTTTGAAACTTGTATTTTTTTATCCTGTGAGATGAGAAACATTTTAGAAAATTTTGCATATAGGCCCTTAGCACAACAACACATTCAGTCATTTTATTTAAATGCAAAATAAATATTAAAATAAGTTGATGGCAACAAAATGAATTTATTTAAGTATTTTTCAGTCAAGATTTTACCATTAAGATTTCAAAGTCACAATATCACAGAATGCTTAAAAGAAGTAAATTTAAATTATTTTGCAGTAAATTTACTTATGATAATTATATCATAATAAATAAAAAGCTATATTGATAAATATTTTCTAAAATTATTCAAAAAACCAAATAAAGTTTTAAAAATAAAAATGTGCACTGCAGGCTCCACTACTGAACATATCATCATGATAACTGTAGGCTCCACTACTGAACATATCATCATGATATTAAAAAACATAAATTGGAAATATAATATTTACTGAAAAGTGAATCTCAACTTTGTATTGAGATAAGGAGATCAGCATTTCACACCAGCTGAAAACATCATTCTTGAGAAGCTGTAATTTTGTGCAAAGTGTTTATTTAAATTCATCTTCCACCAAGGGGAGTAAGTTTTTTTCCCCCATAATTAACCAAACTTTAAAACAGAAAGATGAGGATTAAACCAAGTTGTTAACCAGGGTTAGTGCCCCCCAGGGTGGACCAAGCTTTTAGCTGTCCCCACTTCCACCAAAAAAAAAAATCTCTCTGCGGTTGGCAGAAAATGCTTCCCCCCCCCCAATTTGAATAAAAAAGTGCAGCCCAGGGTGGATCGCCCCCTATGCACCTCCCTTCCTGCAGTTAGAGTCTATCTGTATGGTTTTAAGTCATTTACTGCATAGTGCTCAAAAAAATATATTGATAATAGGACAAAGCAAGCAATCATTGGTCATTATATTCATTATATTAGCAATAATCAGAATTTTTTTTATAGATGACATATGTACAAAAACATTTCTACCTGTAAAATGTAAAGCTATCCACCTGTAAAGTGTAAAGCTATCAATAAAGCTGTAAATATTACTTCCCATATGTACCGCTGCCCTCAGAGCAAAGTAAACAACAATTAAATATTTTCTGCAAAATTACTGCTCAGATTTTTTTTGAAAACTAAATTAGGAATAAAAAAATCTACTTATTCAAGTAAGAGACTATAAAAAACAATCATGTCATAAATATATTGTAGAAATATTTTTCAAAGCTTATACCAGGTTTTCTATCTATTACAATGTTTATATCAGGATATTACCTAAAAAAAAATATTGGTAAGCTAACAGGATAGCTGTGTATGTCCACTAAAAGAAAGTGTTTTTTTAAAAACATAAGATAACTAATAAAAAATTGAAAAACAAATCTTAATTCTTTTAAGTAGCCTGAAACTAAGAAGACCTATGAAAAATTATCTTAAAAACAGGTCCAATTCATAGTTTTCATAAAACATTTTCAATGATATTAATTTTTCTTGTAGTATAATAAATTTAAACAATTCTATTACAATAAATAACATTATGCCTAACGTTACCAATTCCAATTTTAATTAACAATTATTTTTTTTTGTTTTTATCAGCAGGAAAGTATAATTGCTTTTCAAAAGAAATACTTACAGAAGATGCAAAAAGCAAAGAGAATGCACAGCAATTTATAAGTCACATAAGTCACATACAAAAAAAAATTATGTTTATTTACT